AAAGTCAAGCGCATGACATCGGAAAAAATGCGTTTTGCATGAGTAAGAAATGTCTCCACGCCATGAGATTCTTACTCAAGAAATTCAAGAAAGTCATGTGCTTGAGAAAAAAAGCTTCACTAGGGTGAGCTCAAAACAAGCAAGTGCACAGTAATTTTATTCACATCTTTTAACTCTCTCTTTCAATTGTTGTGCACTTTAGACCTGCATAGACGCAAATGGTTGCTTTGAAAAAACTTTTAAAATTTTTCAGCTCCTCCCTGTCCATCTATGTCCATGGACAAATTTAAAAAAACTGTGCATGTCCGTTGACGTTCATGGACATGTCCATCTAATACAGGGTCTATTCTGCACGCCTCCCTCCCTTAGTCAAACAGGTGATTTTTTACAACAGAAATATTCAGTGCTAAAAAACACATATTTCATCCGAAGCATGTCGAAATTTTCAAAAAAAAAATGGATCGTCAAAACGAAATCTAGTGTGTCATGTCCAGGAGACTCGATCATCTATGAAGCCGTGTTTATCTCAAATGGCTCATCTGTTTTTTCTGAGAAATTGTAGATAACAGAAAGAAATATTTTGAGTATTTCATACTAATCTATTTGAATTCGGAAAAACAGCATCTATAAAGTGGCTGAGAGCCAGTTAGAAATGATCCGCACACCACTTTAAGAAAATAAGTCTTTTATATTACCGAAAATATCCTTTTTGTATGTTTCGTTTTTAAAACAAAAGCATCAAGGCATCTTCAGACAGACACGTGCTTCATACAAATTATACGTTTGAAAGCATTCACTCTATAACGTACGTTATATTCTTATACAAATACGTGGTTTATATGCTGTATAATTTATGTGCCAGGCATGTGTCTATTGCGCCTGTTTAAAATACAAAACGACACTTTCACAACACAAGAAATCGAAATGAAATGTCGCCTACATCGTCTTGTTTTCTACCTAATTTCAGTTTTTCCGAACATTAAAAGTAAAAGAAATGCGAAATATAACAAAACAGAACGAAACAACACGTGGATAATCAATTTCTTCCTTTTCTTCTAAAAGTCGACGAAAACGTATATGATCCATACACTTTCTGCTGTAAATTAAATATGGACCGACGGTGGACCAATTAAAAATCACTGCGCAACCTCTAAACTATGCTTCTTCGGCTGAAAATTCGCGAAATAGACGCTAAAAGCAAAGTTTTACTTAAAAACGGCTTCAAATCTTGATCTTTTCAGTTTTAAATTCAGTAGATAACCATGTCCGTCATTATGATCTTCCGTTTTTTGGTGTTACCTTCAATGCCCAGCTATCACTAAATTTGGTGATAGAAATTGGTGATACCGCGGTTTGACCTTTCACGGATGAATAAAAAATTTGATAGGCTATATCTCCGGCCATTTCTATTTACTCGGGAACTTTAAGAAGATGGTACGCTTTTAAAAATCCAGACAGTATTTCTTAGATGAATTTTAATACCAAAGCTATACATTTGAGGTAGCATAAATGTCAGCAAACTCATCATTCTATTAGAACGCAGAGTCAATGTCATCATTCTATTAGAAAGAAAATACAACTCTTTGAGCATTTTTCAGTCACTAGTCTAGGGTCCTACAAAATGGTCGTTTGTGTGTGTTGTGTATGCCTGTGTGTATGCATACATACATTTTTCCATATTTAAACATATGGCAAAATGGCTGTCAGATATTCCATGGATCAGCCAATCAGAAGAGAGAAAAATACAAAAATTCTTTTTTAACCGCGAGAGAGAAAATATTGAAATAGGCGACTGAAATATCTACTGTTGGAGACAGAAGAAAAACCAAGCAAATTTCATCCTGTAGTTCGAAGATAGATGTCGCCAGAAGTTAATCGGTTTTGATAACACAAAAGAGTCACCTACGGATAATAAAAGTTACAGAATACAGATAGTCTATCATATGGCGAATCGATCAGAAATACTTACAGCCCTCCTTCGGAGCTTCAGAGGGTATCGAGAAAAACTTTTTAGCTTCATATTATGATTACATTGTGTACTTTTTGCGTGGAATCAGAGAAGTTCACGACATTTCTCAGTTAGCCGGGATGCGAACGCCGACCGAAGGGAAGCGTAAACATTGTCTTGAATTCAGTAATAGTTTTCGAACGCTCAAGATCTTGAAGAGGGTCTGGAGAAAACTTTTTAAATTTATATTAGATTACAAAGTTTACACATCAAATCAGAGAAAAGTTCATAACATATTTTAGATACTCCCGGAACAATCTAAAATATGTAATGAATTTTTCTCCTTTTAGATAGCACCTAATAGTTTTTTACACCTGTCCTTATAACACTGAGAGTTCACTACACAAATCTCCAATCAGCATAGACCAATCATTTGGAATAGCAAACTAGGAGCCAGAACTCCGTATGAACACAAATTTTTCAGTCCAGCCCAGCCCAGCCCAGCCCAGCCCATGGACTAAAAAAATCGTGGCGAGTTCAGTCCGACTGCATGAAAAATAGTTTTCTGAGTCCAGTCCATGGACTCTAGAATTGCAGTCTAGTCCAATAGATTGAGTAAATGCTACGTGGTCAGACGGCTAAGTGTATCCGCTTTAGTGCCACTAATGCATCCAAATATCAGAAAAGTGATCCTCAAATTCACTGGATGAAAGTTTTAAGTTTAAATAAGCTACAAATAACATTTCATTTCCTCATATTTCTTTCTTCTGGCCAAGCATCGTTAGTGAGAATTCTGAAATGTTATTAAATTTTTTCATGTTGTGACATAGCCGTTTTAGGTACGTAATCATGGATGACTTTTTGGAACCTAAATACTTTTTCAATTCAACCTCGATTTTAGAAAATTGCTGACACTTACGTTTATGAATATAAGCTTTTCTATTCTTTTCAAATAACTTCTTCAGAACAGAACTGGAATTACAGAATTTCCTCTTCAAACCTCTACATCTGCCACTATTATAGTCCATCAATTCTGATTAAAATGTAACATTCTGGAACTTAATACGAGCTTCTATTTTTAAAGAGCGGTGATGTTTACGAAACTGAGGTAACGATAACTTTTTCGCTGGAAAAAATGAAACAGTGTTGATTTTCTACCCCAATTTACGTCAATTTTTTGTAAACATCATTACTCGGTGAAGAAAGCTCGTCAATGTCTCATTTTAATCACATTTGGCGGATCATTCTTTCATCATCAGATCATTCTTTTTTCTAGCACGATACTGATCAGACGTATTTTTCTTTCTTGTCTTTTCTGTATTTGTACGTATACGTGCATGTGTTTTGCATCGTGTTTAGATATTTTTGGTTTTATTTTTTAAATTTAATCTGAAAAGTATTAAAACTTATTACAATTATTGATAATTTTATGAGGAAATATGACCTTTGAACAGCAAAATAATATGAATACAATGGAAAAAACTTAGAAAAAATCATAGAACAATTTAATAACAAAAATAACACAAATTCTCCATCTTTTGAAGAGAACTAACACAAGCAACAGTCAGATTGATACTGAAATTCAAGAAAATGATAGCGGAAATGGTGGCGGTGGTTGGCAAACCGCAGGAAGTAGTAATAAAAACAAACATTTTCGTAACAATAATGACAAAGATGAAAGATTTACGTCAAGAACAATACTAAATAATAATTATAGAACTATAGAACAACAATCCAATAATAATAATTCTACAACCGCAGCTACAAGATCAATGAATGTAAATAATAATAACGATTATGAAATTCACGATGATATTAGAATCTCAAAACAAGCGGTAAACTTCGCAATGGAGAATCATCTGCAACCACATAAATTTGAATGCAATCCTAAATTTAAAAGTAATGATCACAAACAAGGCGTCAAATTTATTCAAGAATTCCTTCGATTAATTACAAATGATTTTCGTGAACAAAATTCAACCTATTCAAAACCGTTAGGTCTTGAAACGTGGTGGATCGACCACAACGGAGATATTCAAGCTATAACAAATGAAATTGACTTATATGTCTATTTATGTAATGAAGAACACATTCCAAAAGAAATTGAACAAATCAAAATAACGCCACATCTGCCAAAACATCTTCCACCGCAGCGATCTATCATGTTAAAATGGGTTAGTTATTTAATATTAATTGAAGATATAAGCGAAGAATTAAATATGAAGTTTGAATCCATTTATTCTATACAAGAAATTGTAGGAACAAAGAACAACCGCAGTCGTAATTTGAGAATAGATATAAAGGACCGAAAAGAATATAACGATATTTTAAATAATGGAATAATTAATTTATCTGGAACTATGTTCAACGTTGATGAATATCTTCCTGCACCAAAACTATTAATTTGTACAAGATGCAATTATCCAGGTCATGTCAAAAAAGTATGTACAAATTCAGAGTGTGATTTATGTCGTAGATGTGGTGAAGATAAAAACAATGATAAAGATCATAAAGAATGTGAAATTTGTTGTCATCATTGTGGAGGAAATCATCTTTCATGATGGTGTATTTTAGACGGACGTACCATGCGAATGATTTTGACAGATTTTGCTATGAATTTTCAAACGTTAAATACATTACTATTCACAGAATGATGGTGCAGTTTATTGACGTGTTGATCCTCTGTTGTAGAAATTATAACATTTTGAGTATTTGAATTATTTTGTTTTCCATGAAAATAAGGTGACGGCAATTCAAAAGATAAGCAAAATTTTTCTTTTGATTTTTTGTTGATCATTAGATCGAGCTCATCGAGTTACCTAGAAAAGATTGAAACGTGGGAAAAAACTTGTGGGAAAAAAATTTAGTATCGGTTTTTGAAAATATTATTCCGTTCTTGAGAAAATTAATTTTCTTGAAACAGGTAGCTAAAAACAAGAAAAGTAAGTTGTATTTTGCAGTTTTCACTGTCAAATTTTACTTTTTATGCAAAACCAATGTCATATTTGGAATCAGCACCCAAAACTGACTTGGTTGATGTGTGTCGTAGGGCTTTTGGGTAACCTTCATTTTTTTCGAACTTTTCAACCGAAATTTTTGCGGAAAAATAACTTGTCTAACTGCTAACCATAAAAACAAGATAGGTTTACAAGAAGTTTGGGTGGGGTTCCAGCAGTTAGGACCGCTCTTCAGCAATTTCAATTCGCCAATCAGATTCTAAAAGTATTTGAACTACTTTTTATATTCAATTTTGTATGTAAAATCAGAAAAAAATAGTACTAAAATTTTAAAAAGACGATAAACCCTGAAATTTTACTTTTTTTTCAGAATTTGGCGGAATTTTGCCCATTTCTAAAAAATCAATATTTTAAAATTTTTTAAATGGAAAAAGACTTTCAAAAATCCACGTTTCAGTTTTTTCTAGGTAACTCGATGAGCTCGATTTAATGATCAACAAAAAAATCAAAACAAAAATTTTGCTTATCTTTTGAATTACTGGCATCTTATCTATAAAATATTATGTTCATTGAGCATATTACTAGATAATCAGAAAAATAAAGATGAAATCTTAGAATGACTATATGAATAGTGATTTATTGTTACATTTATTGTTAATTAACAATATTCCCTTGACTGTAAAGGAAAGGGTCTTATCGAGTTAAAATGCCTGTATGTATGTTTGTATGTATGTTTGTTTGTATGTCCGCAGACTAGATACTAGCGACACACAACTTTTTAGTAGCTGAGACTTGATTGGATGAAAACGATAGGGAATAGGTATTCGACTATGGGGAATCAGAAAATGAGTATGAGCGACCTCTCCGGCGGATCCTGTTGGTCGACAACATCATTTCCACTTGATTAGATAAACATGATATGGAGTAGGCATTCGCCTATGGGGAATCAGAAAATGGCTATGTACGACCACTAGGATCGATTCTATTGGTCGAAAACTTCAACTTGATTGGATGAAAATGATATTCCCT